TTTTTTTTTCTCTAAGATCTGGAACAAGTACTATTTAACATAGTATCAAAAGTCCCAGCCAGGGAAACGAAGCATGAGAAAGAAATACAGAATTCAAGTTGGTAGCTGGGCACAGCGACGCATGCCTGTAATCCCCGAACTTGAGAGGGAAGCAGGAAGATCACCATGAGTTTTAGGTCAGTCTGGGCTACATAGTGAGACCTTGTCTCTAACAAACAAACAAACAAGCAAATCCAAGTTGGAAAAGAACACTTCAAATTGTCACTGTTTGCAGATGGCATACTCATATATGTAGAATACTGTTGTCTTGAACATTCCATACCAAGCCTTTCACATCCTTTACCCACAATTCTCTTCAGGTTTTGGCATTTGAACAAATGATGTGACAAAAAAAAAAAAAGACTTTAAAACAACAGGCTTGGTTCTGCACTGCAAAAGAAACTGTCAACAGAACTAAGAGACAACCTACAATGTGGGAAAACATTTTACCAGCTGCTCCTCAGACAAAGGACTATTATCTAGAATATATAAAGAACTCAAAACAATCAGTCCCCCCAAATATAAAGACCCAACTCAAAAATGGGCATCTGAAATAAACAGACATTTATCAGACAAAGAAGTAAAAGCAGCAAGTAAATATATGAAAAAATGTTCCACATCACTGATCATTCGAGAGATGCAGATGAAAACAATACTGAGATTCTGCCTCACCCCACAAAGAATGGCTGCTATCAAGAAATCAAACAATAACAAATGTTGGCGGGGTTGTGGGGAGAAAGGAATCCTTCTTTATTGTTGGTGGGAATGCAGACTGGTGCAACCACTATGGAAATCAATATGGAGATACCTCAAAAAGCTAGGACTAGAGGTTCCATTTGACCCAACCATCCCTCTGCTGGGTATCTTTCCAAAAGACTTAAAAGAATCATGCCACAGTGATATATGCGCACCAATGTTTATAGCAGCACAGTTTGTAATAGCTAAAACCTGGAAACAGCCCATCTGTCCATCTGTTGGAAACTGGATAAAGAAGATGTGGTTCTTCTATAAAATGGAATACTACTCAGCCATAAAGAATGAGAAATTAGAGTCATTCATAAGGAAATGGACACATATTGAGGATATACTCTTAAGAGAAATAAATAAGTCAGACATGTGTAAATACCAAATAGTTTCTCTGGTGTGAAAAACTACAATAGTACACAAGATCCTAATGGGATGGGTAAGAGTGTGAAGTGGGAAGAAAAGGGGTAAAGGTGTAGGGAAAGGGGGAAGGGTAGGGGCAAGGAAATAAGGGAAAAGAAAAAAATATGAGAAAATGAAACAATGGAAATAAAGAGTTTGCTAATGGGGAGGGGAGGAGGGGGTGAAGGGAGGGCAGGGACAAGGGGAAAAAATGAGAACCAAGACCTGTCATGAGAAGGTACAGGATCCCAGTAATGAATGTAACTGTATTGTAGACCTAGATTGTACCAATAAACTCATTAAAAAAGAAAAAAATATATATATATGAAAAAGTTAAAAAAAAAAAAACCAACAGGCTTGGCCTAGGGATTTAGCTCAGTGGTGTTGCTGCCTATCTCACAAGTGCAAGGTCTTGAATTCAATCCCCAGTACCAAAAATAAATAAATAAATAATAAATTAAATAAGGCTCATTGTGTAATACTCAGTAACTACTGTCTCCTCTCCCTCTATACCACTTCATTTCTGACATCCTTCCTTGGTGAGGAGGCATAAAAATATGGTTTATCCTTCCATCCACCTTAACGTGCTGCCCTTCAAGGACCTTTTCATGAGCAACTCATGGTCCTCAGCCTAAAGCCTCTGCGATCAAAGAACTATTGAACAGGCCTTTCAGAACTGCCACAGTCACTCCCAGGGAAATCTACAACCCACTCAGTGCCTCAAGAAATATTTGTCAGCTCTCAACCTTGTCTCTCATTTCTGTCCACATTTTATGGACTTTGGCAGGTGTATTTCATAATTTATAGTTCAGGATTGTGGCCATTTCATTGTTCACCAAAGACAGAGTGTTCCCTCCTTTTCATTCTCTTTGTGGGTTTTTGCCGGGTTTCAAAGGAGGGGATGGAATTCTTTAAAAATGCCTTTATTGCCATGTTTTACAGAAAGCCCTAGTTATTATTATCTTTCTGTACAGAGAGAAGCTTTTTGTAGACTTTTGAACAATTATTTTAAAATTGTCATTTACCGAATTATTTATTTTTTTAGCAATTAAATGATCACGTAAGACTTTCTCACATATTAAAACTCAATGTCAACTTTTATTAAACCACCACTGAGACAGTTATACTCACACAACAGTGGTTAATAAACTGTCAAACACTGCACAGAAGACATCTCTAATGATATGAATTTGACTTGACTTTTTCCCTCATTATGAGAGGTAGTATCATTTGTGAGCCTTTTCTGAATGGGTTTTGTATGTCTCTGTGTCTTGTAAAGTTCAAAGGAAGAGCGCCAGTAGAGAACGCTCATGACTCAGAGTGGGGGGCAGTGCCTTTAATTATCATTTTCTCTAATTATCACCCACAAATAATCAGTGTCTTTAATCAGCATCTCTCAGAAAGCAGCAACCTAGGCCAAAGCTTCGCCTGTGGTTACTCTATGGATATCTAGTAGATTCCTGAGGAAGAGGTTGTATAAACAACAAACTCTTTTTGTGTAATTTCAACTATTTGTTTATAGTCTTTATACGTGAAGATCAGTTTGGAAGGATATAAATTCCATGGTTCACATATCCTTTCCTACAATATATTAATTCTGTTGCCCTACTGTTTTCCAGGGTGAAATTGTCTTGTCAAGGAGTCTGGGACCAGTACTGTTTTCTTTCTCTAATAAGTGATGTAATTCTTTTGCCTACTTTAAAAAAATCTTTAAATGCCAGTAGTTTTAATAGAATTTGTCCTGATATTAACTATTTGAGGTCAATTTTCCCAGACATATGGAATGCTCTTTCAATCTGGCAATTTAAAGTTTTTATTCATTGTTTTGTCCTCATCCATTATTTTAGAGTTTCCTTTACCTGGGACATAATATTCATCAGATTTTCTTTCACTGCTTCTATATCTATCATTTTAGCTCAATCCTTGTTATTTCATTTAGATTCTTTCCACCTCCCACTTTTCTTTCATCTTAGCATTACAATCTCTGTGTCTAGGCATTTTGGGTTCCTTTTAGTTTAGTCTACATTCTGAAAATTTTCTTCTTTGTTTTCTAATCCTCTCCTCAGTCCTCATCTTTTCACATCCTCTTGTTATTTATTCACCTCATTTCTCAGATTTATGTGTCTGATTTGTTTCTGTGGTTTTGAGTTTCTTTTAGTTCAATTGTAATATTAAATTACACTTTCATCTGCTTCAAGGCCAAATTTTCATTATTTTGGGTTGTTATTGGCACTTTTATCTTGTATCTTTGTATGGGGTTTGCTGCTGCACCTATATAAGTGGCATAGATCGTTTTCTGTACTTTTAGCATAAGAGAGTGTGGGGCTGGAGTGTTTTGGGGTAGCTCTCTTTTCTTCACTGTTCAAGGCTCCTTCCTCTGGTCTTTCCTGTTAAAAAGCATTCAACAACTTGGCCACAATTCTGAGAACTGTATCCTCTCAATTCTGAATCCCAAAGCACTCATCATTCCCTTTCCTTTCCCTAGTGTGTCCTTCTCAACATGGATCACAGTTCCGACCACACTTCTTGGGGATTTCTGGAGGCCTCTGGGATGTGAGCGCTCCAATATTCTCAGTCTCCTTGAGCCCCTCAGTGGATCCCTGTGATCATTCCTGCCCACCCCACCCCCTGGAATCATGAGTTTTCTCACACTCTCACTCATTGGTCTGAGATCTACTTGCTCAGAGCTCTATTTCGAGGAAGATTATTTCCTTGCAATGGTATTAAATGATTTCCTTATTTCATGGCTCTTGGCCCTGTGTCTTTTATAAATCTCAGCCTAGTTGCTAACTTTGTGGTTTCTGCACAGTGTCTGTTATTGTGTGGGATGGCCTTGCCCTTCATATCACCTTCATTAAAGTTATCTGTATTTTTTCCTTGCTTTTGCAATCCTAATTGGTGTGTATGTGTGTGTGTGTGGGGGGTGTTAATGGAGATCTTTTAAACCCAGGGCCCTCATCCTGAGTTACATGGCAAGCCCTTTTAAAAATTTTTTAATTTTGACACAGGGCCTTGCAAAGTTGCTAAACCGCCTAGGCTGGACTCAAACTTGTAATTCTCCTGCCTTGGTTTTCCAGAGTGCTGTGATTAAAGGCATGTCTGGTTTTTTAAAATGAGTGGTTTGAAGATATGAAGTAACTATGATGACACAAAGGGTTCAAAAACATATGCTGGAGAAAACACAGCCTCTTTTTTAATTTGTTTGTTTGTTTTTTGGTACCGGGGATCAAACTCAGGACCTTGTGCTTGCAAGGTGGGCAGCAGTACCACTGACCTAAATCCCCAGCAGACAGCCTCATTAATAAATGGTGCATGGAAGATGGGAAGCCACATGCAGAAAAATGAAACAAGAATGCTATCTCTCTCACGCCCTGTACTCAAGTCAAATAAAAATGGATCAAAGACCTAGATATAAAATCAGAAATGTTGAAAATGCTGAAAGACAACATAGGGGAACACTGGAAGCCATAGGCACAAGCAAAGACTTCCCGAACAGACTTCAAAAACATAGGAAATAATATCTAGAATCAACAAATGAGACTACATCAAATTAAAAAGCTTCTGCCCACAAAGCAAACAACAGAGTGAAGAGGCAACACACTGAATAGGAGAAAATCTTTGCTAGTGATTCATCTGTTAGAGGATTAATATCTACCTATATAAATAACTTGAAAAAATTAACCCCCATAAAGCAATGAATTCAATAAAAAGTGAGCAAATGAAGTGAATAGAGACTTCTCAAAAGAGGTTGTTCAAATGGTCAAAAGGTATATGAAAAATATATTTAACATCTCTAGTATCAGAGAAATGCAAATTAAAACTATGTTGAAAGTATTTCCAGACCTAGTCAGAATGACTATCAAGAATACCATAGTTGAATAGATAAAGAAAATGGGCCATTCAAGTATATACAGAATGGAACATTACTCTGCCATAAAAAGAATGAAATCATGTTATTTGCATAAAATGAGAGGAACTACAAACCATTAAGGTAAGCAAAATTAGCCACATTTAGAAAGTTAAATATCATATGTTTTCTCTTATATGAGAAACCTAAAAGATGCATAAATTGATAATTAAAATAAAGAAGAGAGGAGAGGAAATCAGGAGGTAGACACTTCAGGAGACAGAGAAAGGGATAAGTAGGAAGGGCAAAGAAAAGAAGGGAGAAACAATGGGACTGAAATTGATTAAATACACTGAATGCAAGCACAACTTCCCCAAATAACCCAACCATCAGGTAACATTAACATACACTAATAAAATACAATAAAAACTCAACAAAAGAAAGATTTTTAGAACAAACCCTGAGAACTGGACTATTCTTTATTCAAGAAGGAATATCTGAACAAAGAATTAATACATTTGCATAAAAAATCTCAGACAAAATCCAGACTAACTCCACAGGATAATGGTCGATGGAATGGACCTGGGTCCAGATATATTTCCTGGTCTCAGCAAAGAACAACTGTGAAGATGAAGATTAAGTGTCATAGAGAAACCCAATCAAGCTTCTTAGAGTTTATTCTTTTAAAAAAAGAGACCAGAGTTGTAACTTCTTGAAGGCTTTCCATCCTAAGCACCAGCAATGAGCTGAAACTATTTTTGAGTGTGTGTGTGTGTGTGTGTGTGTGTGTGTGTGTGTGTGAGAGAGAGAGAGAGAGAGAGAGAGAGAGAGAGAGAGAATATAAAAATTTCATGCACTTGACAAAATCAAGGCTTCACAATAGGTTCTTAGGGGAAAGAGCCTTGATTACTTAACCAATTTCTATGATGTAAATACTTTCATCATGACTGACTTCAAACTATCAATTCAATGTCATTGTGCACAACATGGGAAAGATTATAACTGGCTCTCACAAGACAGTATGAACTAGCCCCAAAACAAGACTATCTTCACAAATCATAGCTAACAAATCTATTGAAAACTGGAATGCTATATTTGGAAATATATGTGTCCCAGATATGTTCTTTGTAAACTTTTCATTTATAAAGATCTTTTTTTCTTTACTTGGAATGTTGACATATTTCAAGAAGTGAAGAGTTGGAAGGTATAGGCCACTGAACACAAAAAGTGACATTATTGCAAGAGGGCATACCTTCCACAGAGATAGGAAGTGAGTGGAGTGTGGGTTGGGATGGGGTGAAGAGGTTGTCCTTGGCTTTCCCAGGATGGGAATATATTTATTCTACATGTAGAGCTGAGGGTGAGGTGTTGGACGGAAGATCTCTGTTCCTAAAGATGCAGAGTCATCTGTAAGAGTTAGGGAAGGGATGACTCTTTCCTAGCCTATAGAGGAAAACGCAGCAATCAAAATTAAAGGGTCATATAGTGATCTTTTTGGAAACTTGGAAAAACACAAATCAAGAGTCAGGATAGAGAAAAACCCAAATACCCAGACATATCATGAAGGAGAAAGACAAAAGTAGACAAAGCAGTCCAAAGCTCCATCAAAGCACAGAGAATAAAGGAGAGAAGGGTCCAGTGTTAGGATGAGGATACAGAACAGGTTTTGAGGAATATGGACCACAAACATCCACTATGGAGAATGACTGCCTTTGATGAATCAATATTTTTTTCTTAAAACTTGGAAAGCTGTGTAAGAATTGAAGTCTCCTTTCCACACAAATCTTTGGTCCAGATCTAAGGAACCAAGGCAAACCAATGAGCCAATAGACAGACAAAACTCCAACACACCATGAATATAGCCAATGTAGGGGGTGGTGACTGTTCCGGCTGTAGACCAACAGGCCAGGCATGGTGAAGAATGGAAATTCTGGTGTGGCTTCTCAGACCTGCTGTGTCCAGGAGTAGTAGTCAGTCCCCATAAGGCTTTATCCAGAACCACAAGATGGATGGCCGCCCCCAAATGAGCCATCCCATGGCACATAGAACAGTTTGGCAGGAAGCTTTAGGGAAGGGTGGCAATTTAGTGCCAGAGTCTCTGCCAAAACAAAGCAACTCTGAAATGAAAGGAAATTTCAATGAACAGAAGAAAAGCTGAACGCAGGGCGAAACTCAAATTGCTATGTACCAGGTCGTAAGCCTGGCTGGACCCAAGTCCAGACACTGGCTGTCAGTGTCTCAGGCTGAGCTTGGCTCTGCCTTCCTGCACACATGTGCACATTTCCTGTTCCTCCAATATCAGAGTTTCTTGGAGGTGTGGCCTTGTGCTCACTCTGTTACTTGATGAAGCAACCTTTCTCAGGTCCAACTCAGATCACGCGGGCAACCTCCTCTTTCATTCTTTTCTCCTGTTTCTCCCAGGAAAATTCCTTCCAATAAGTGATTTTCCTCTCTTGTGTTAGAAGATCCAAATTTTTCTAAAAATCACCACTTTAGTACTATTTTGCATTTACTATGACTTTGCAAAGGCACTTAAGGGAATGTATTTATTAGATCAAGTTCTGTGGGGCCCAAGGACCTGTCAGTGACCTCCTGGCCACCGGCCTCAATGATATTATAGGACAGATAGGAAGACCATATGGTTTGCTCAGGAAGTAGCTCTGCATTGAAATATAATAAAAAGTAAGGTCACTGTGAGTTAAAGGTAGGAAATGCTATGCAATTTTAGAGAGTAGAAGACTTCTGAGGAGCGAAGGAAGCTGAGCTACACCTCAGACATGGGATCACAGACACAAAGGCAAGCGTGTGTACAGTACTGTGATATCGGTCATCACATATAAGTAACAACTGCAGGTCCCATTACTGGCTCAGAGAATGGGCTAGAGAGGAAAGGAGAGATGTTATCTCTTCTCTCTACTCTAAAAGGCCAGAATGAAGCTTATTCCACCACACATGATAGAACTCTGAAAATCTGTTTGTTCTTAATGGAAATAAGAAAAGAGAGAAGCAGAGCAGGTATTTTAGAGTGCAGCAGTGGCTCTAGGAGCTCTCTAGGGAATCCAGGAGTAAGGTGCCTGGCTTCTCATCCTGCCCTTCTGTCTGGCCTCTTAGAGTACTTGCTGCAGGATGTCGTCTCACAAGTCCTGTGCCAGGATAGACTGTCCTCCACACTTGGCGCCAGGAGACTGGTCAAAGGTAAAATTAACAATGGTAGGAACGTATTTTAGAGGAAAGAGAGGTATGGAAGATGTTCAGAAAGTGGAAATGATAGGGGTTAGTGGGTAATTCCACAGGAGAGGAACATAAGGAAGAGAGCAACCAAACTTATTTTAAGTTCATCCTGAGATACTGGTAATTCCAAAAAGAAAGGATCACCATGGAAGACAGATAACAAAACAGTTTAAATAATATGGAGAAAAATGGAAAATAAATTTTTGTGTCTGGCCTTGAAAAGAGAATCCATGACCTTGAGTGAGTAAGCACTGCTTGTGATTGGCACCCAGGTACCACACGTCTCACACTGATCCTGGTCTGATCCCATGGAGGAAACAGATCCTGAAACCAGGGCGGGGGCACAAAAGAAGAACTGTGCCCTCAAGAGCAGCCCTTACCTTTGACCAGTCTCCTGGTGCCAAGTGTGGAGGACAGTCTATCCTGGCACAGGACTTGTGAGATGATGCCCGGGGACCTTGGCACAGCTCATCGGGGAGGTTCAAAAAGCTGCCATCTGTTAACAGCTGCCGACAGGTGACTCTTCGGTTCTGAGTGCCCCCACCACATGTTCTGGTACACTGCAGAGACAAAAGGAAATGAGGCTGTAGCTGGGTCTCTACAAGGTGGCACCATGCAAGCCCCTCACTATCTAAGCATGGTGACCATACCTGCTGCCACTCTTCAATGTACCAGGCAGGAGGGCAGTCAAACTGGTTGCATGCCTGTAAGTCATGGGGCTTTTCACCTCCACACTTCTCTGGAGAGGCAGGGGACTCCTTTGGGTGCAAGCAGTGCACCTCCCGGGTCTGGATGCCAACCCCACAGGAAGCTGAGCAGGGCCCCCAGGAGCCCACGTGCCACCTAAACCAGGATCCAAGAGGGAAAAGTGAACAATGAGACAACTGGCAAGCATGAGCATGAAGACTTTCAAGTTCTTTTTGGGCCTCCAGACGGTAGACTCTGTGTATAGGTTCCACGGCCACAACATCTCCAGCAATAGATTCAATTAAAATACAGAAATATAGCATTGAGAAATAAGAAATGTCAAGGAAGTGCTGAAAAATCTTACTCATTTGGAAAAATCCCAAATGAAAAGCAGCAGATATTTTTCCCATCCTGCCCTGCCACTATCAAAAATAAAATCTTGGTTTGGTTTTAAGCAGAGTCCCAAGGCAATGATGATTTATAGAGATGTCAAAAGAAATTTAAAATGTTTAAAAACACACTTCAGGAATCTTCAGGGCACCTGGTTTCATTATTTGGAATATCCCAAGAAAATTCTTGTATGTTAGCATTGGATTTACAACATACATATATATATATATATATATGTATAGTGATTCTTTCCAGTAAGATCTTGGAAAAATCAGGTTTTCTCATGAAACATCTGTAAAATGAAAAACCAGGGCAGCTGCTTTCAATCCATATTTCCAAATTGCCTTCAAGGAAGAATCTCCCAGTTGACACCACCGAAGTGTGAGAGCGCCCATTTTCCTACCCCTGCAGCATACTGCAGGATATAATCTAATAAAGCCTCTACTTAACTGGTGTGTGAAAAAATTACATATTATGGTTGTTTTACAGATGCTTAATTTTTAGTGACCATTCATTCGTCACTAATTACTGTAGAGGTACATCATCAGGAAACAATTTTAAAGTGCTTAAAACATACATAAAAGGACACTGGATGCAAGATAGTTCTTAAGAGGCAAAAAAATTGTATTTCATGAAACAAAAGGAGATCCTTAAGTAGCAAAAGTAAATGGTGAAGTAAATAATAGTGACTCATAGAACAATGGCAGCAGTCATTAACATAATATGATAGACATATAGTTTTGATATAAAAATATATTCATGGCATATTTTTACTAGAAAAGATAAGGAGGCATAAAATGGTTGTAGAATATAATTCTATTACTTATGAATTTATAAATGTATGCAAGAAGTGGATATTTCACATTAATATCTTAACAGTGATCATCTTTGAGTGATACAATTCTTAATTTCTTTATTCTTGTATTTTTTCTGGATTTCATTATAAGGAGAATTTATTATCATAAAAATAAGTTCTCTTAGAATATGAATGGACATTTATCTAAACACAATTTTCAGTGTTTCTCATTTATAATGTCCTATAATAAATATTATTTGTATAAATTACAGACAAATTTAAAAAATAATACTCAAGACAAAATATGGCAAAAAGCAGAATTTTTATTCATGAAGGGAAATTTCATGCTGAAGATATAATCATGAAAGTATAGAGACAGAATGAAAAGCATAAATATGTGATACAGCCTGGATCTGTATAAATATGAGATACAGTTGGTCCTCAGTTTGGCAGTACTCAGAGGTGGTGGGACCTTTAAAGAAAGGGGATTGGTACAAGGCTTTAGATCATTAGGGATGTGACTTTGAGGGGGACTATGGGCTCCAGCCCCTTCCTATCCGTCTCACTGCCTCATCCTGAGGTAAACAGGCTTTCTCCACCATATGTTCTCACCATGATGTACAGAAACAGCACAGGTCCAAAGCAATGGGCCCAGTCAATAATGGGATGAAAGCTCCAAAACTGTAAGCTAAAATAAACCTTTCCTCTTTGTAAGTTCATTCCCTCAGTATTTGTTATAGTAATGGAAAGCTGAACAATACTGATACAATATGTATGCAACATGAGCTGTTAGATATAAGGAAGAAATGGAAATATACTTTTAAAACTTAAACACATCAGAGCTGGGTAGGCTGTTATACATCTGTAATCCAGCAATTCAAGGCCAGCCTGGGGTACATAGTAAGACCCTGCCTCAAAAAAAAAAAACAAAATAAAACAAAAACCTGAAGGCTTTAAATTATTTCTCTAAGCCCTTGGTATAGCAAGGGCTATATGAATATGAATATGCATTTAGTAATACATTTGAAAACACTGATGAAATAGATATCATTCTAGGAAATAACAAAATTTCATTCAAGAAAGGGACTGAACCTTACTAATTTTGTGGTAGAGTTCCTAAAAATTTTCAAAAATGGTGAATTCCATGGCTATTTTAAAGTTTTCTAAGGAACAAAGAGGATTAAAATATTTTGATGTGCATTATGACACTAGTCAAAACTTGATCAAAGAGTCTGACAAAAAACATATAAAGAAAAAATGTTGACATGTGATTATATATCTTAAATTTTAATAAATAAAATAAAATTTTTATTTCACTAAAAGCATAAATCCTACTCTATAGAAGCAACAGATTAAAATAATGCAGAGTGTGTTATGACAGCATGTATCACGCCAAAATTCATATGCTGAAGCTCAATCTCCCAGCATGAAGGTGTTTGGAGATGAGGCCTCTGGGGACTAATCAGGAAGAGATGGGCTCATGAGGGTGTGGTCCTTGTAATAGGATTAGTGCCTTTATAAAAAGAGTCACCAGAGAGCTTGCTCTTACTCCATGTGTGAAGACACAGTGAAAAGCTGGCAACCTGAGAGCCAGAAAGAGACTTCACCAGTAATCAAACCCTGCTTTACTTTCTGATCAAAAGAAAAAAAAAGAGCTTTGTTGTTCTAACTTTCAGTCTATGAGTTAATACAGTAATGTTTTCTGACCACAAAAATCCCCAAATATTTAGAAAATATGTAGTGATCTTGTAAATTACACAGAGCCAAAGAAAACAATCATAACAGAAATTAAATTGTGATGTTAATAAAATATAAAATGCCAAAATTTGTAGAATGCAGCTAAAGCCATGATTTAGAAGAAAATCAATAGCTTTAAATACATATTATCAAGAAGGAAGATTTTGATTTAATAATCTGAGTACCTATTTTAAGAGGTTAACAGAAAAGAGCTACTAAACTCAAAGAAAGTAGGAGAAAAGATAAAGATGAGAACAGAAATGAACAAACTAGAAAATAAAACAAAAATCTCTTTGGTTCTTCAAAAGACTAATAAAAGTGATAAACCCTTGATGAAATATGAAGAGAAGAGAGAAGTCACAAATCACCAATATCAAGAATACAAGGGGAAAGCTCTACTGTATTAAAACCGTAAGTATGATTTTATAATGAGAAATATTACATCAATAAATTTGAAAATCTACATAGACCGAAAAAATCCTCAAAATAAACAAGCTTATCAAATCTACCACAAATGGAAATTTGAAAAATTCTATATCTATAAAATTTAAATTTAAAATATTAAAATTCTCCACCATCATATGGTTTGACTTACTAGAAAAAAATCCACTAGAAATTAAAGGTGTAAATAACTGCAAATTCTCCAGAAAATATAATAAAATATAATAAATATATAAAATAGAAATAAAATATATAAAATAGAAATAAATATTATAAAAGGAAAAACCTCCCAACTTACTAGGCCAATGCCTCACATAAACACAGGTGTAGAAATCCTAAATAAAATATCAGTAGTTGTGATAGTTGTGGTGTCAATTTAAATAAGAAACACCTCACAGATTGACTTAGCACAGTTCTATTAGGAATCTGACAATTTTTAGAGATGGACTAAATACATTTTGCAGAAAGGGGAGTGCATAAGCCTTTTAGAGGCCAGGGGTAGAATGTCATGTTTATATCTAGATGTCGTGACCAAGACTCATGTTGGGAGAAAATTAGATCATGAGGACATGAGACTCATCAGTGGATTAGTTCAGTGATTGTTTTATAACTGAATGTGGTGCTGGAAGATGAAGTGTGGTCTTTACTCCCTTGATCCTTCTCTGCTTCCTGCCTGCCATGCCACAGACTGTTTCTCCTCTGCCATGGTGCCCTTCCTTGCAGCCAGTCAAGTCTATGACTGAAACCTCTACAAACTGAGCCAAAATGAACCTTTCCTCTTTAAAGTTTTGGGTGTCAGGTATTATGTCTCAGTGAGGAGAAAGTAACTACGACAGTAGTAAGGAATAAAGTGAAAAAAAAAAAACATTATTACCAAGCTGGGCCTATTCCAAGAAGCTAAAATAGATTTAATCTTGGAAAACCAGTATATATGACACTAGCAAAATATAGGAGTAGAAGTAGAAAACATCTGCCAAATTTCAACAGATAGCCATGATAATAACTTAAGAAGGTTATTATCTGCCTCAGTTTGTCCAAAAAAAACAAGTTAGGGGGGTGCAGTGGGATAGAATAGGAGAATAGAACAAAATACCTAATTGAGGTTCCCTTAAATGTTACAGAAAATAACAGCAACAGTTAAAGAGAGATACAAATATAAAGACATTCTCCCATGCAAAATAAATAGCTCAGTAGACAAGAAATCAAATGCAAATACTCAGTGCTTGAGCAGTAAGAAAAAGAAACATGTATTTCAATGTACTGAGAAGGTATTTAAACTCCAGGAGAGCTTTAGAAGTTAACTGATGGGCTTGTAGAAGTAAATCAAACAAAAAATAAAGACAATTGCCAACTCCAGAGGAAACAGAACTTCAACAAAAAATGCAACTTTAAACAGTGCTACTTGAGAAAAACTAAAATACTTATTGAGATATAGTTTACATACCAGAAAATCTTTTAAAATTATTGCAATGAGCCTTTTTAAAAAAACTCTCATCTAATTTTGGACCAGTTTAGGTAGTAAACACTGTACAGAGTGGGACACTGGACCATGATCTATCAAATGACCATGTGACTTACAATGTACATCATGAAATGGGTATTATCTCGGTCACAAAGTCACCAGTTTGCTGTGACTAGCAGTTGCCTATTGTTGAGTGGAAGTGGTATATGGGGACAGACATTGGTGGTGTCTGCATCACTATAAAAAAATCTAGTGGTAGCACTGACCACAAGTCCAATAAACGCCTAACCAGATACTGAGAATCACCCTAGCTGTGTTTTCTTCTCTAAC